GCCTTTTCCCACCAACCCTAAAAAAATTAATACAGTTAATACTGAATTTGGAATCTATTTCTCACCGTCCTTCCTAGAATGCCACATCGACCATTGCCACAGCTGTTTTAGCCGACATTTCTGCACTTTGTGCGAGGAGCCTTACCTGGCCAGCGAGGGCCAGTGTATTGAGGAGTGTCCAAGAGGCTTGTACTACGCCAACTTTACACGCGAGTGCAAGGAGAAGGGTGAGTTGAGATGATCTTATTGGCTTTTTCTCCTCATTTGTTCCCCCCCCCCCGTCCCCCCATGTCCTTGTATGAGCTAAAATTTTGTCTTTGTGGGGCAACCAGATATCAGTTACTTTAAAAAGATTTTTAAAAAAGAAAACGTTTCAGTGTATGCGTCAGTTCTGAACAGCGTCGAATTGTGGTTACCTGTTGAGGACAGCAAATTGCCAAATGGCATCCTTCGATGTTTTGACAAATACTTTAAGTTTTCCATTTTTCCTTTCTCCGGTATCCTTAGGATGTCGAGGGAAGGTGCAAGTCTCAGTCCTGAGCTAGGTGTGTGGCGTCTGTGACTGGCATAGCATGTTATTCTTGTTCCTGTTTTAACACCAGCCAGCCAGGTCTTTCTTTGGTCTTCCTCTTGATTTGAAGAAAGATTCACGAGTGTGATAAGCTCTTGCTACTGGTTGGTTCTGGTTAGATGTCCAAATCATTTGGTTCTTTTACGCTCAATGAAATTCATAACTGGTTGTACTCCAGTTGGTAGTTGTTTTGTTTTGTTGTTTTGTTTTGTTGTTTGTATTTTTTGTTTTTGTTTTTTTTATTCTGGGAAAAGGGGGAAAGGGGGGGGGGGGTTAGAGCAACGTAGTAGAGAAACGAGTAGCCGGCCATGACCGCCGAAGTCTGTTTTGTATCTGGCCCTCGAAGAAGAAGAATCTAACGACGTGTGTATGAGTGTGTCTTTGCGTGTGTGTGTTTCAGTGGACTGTCTCCCGGGCGCCTGGTCTCCGTGGTCAGTGTGCACGCGCAATGGTCAGACGTGTGGCTACAAGTGGGGGGTGCAGACGCGGACACGGCAGATACTGCAGGTACGTGTGACTCTGACACTTGGCACTGACAGGTTTCTAGATTTGCCACTGGCACTTGGCTTTGCCATGTGACAAAATGGGCAAGAGAATAGTGAAATGATAAAATCTGTATTTGTACCTACTGTAGTCGACTGACCATTATGACAGTTGCTGTAGATACATGGGGCACTGGCACTTATCACTGACACATGGCTTAGTAAATAAAGGATTAACGTATTGGGATCGTCCTTCAATACTGGAACTATGGGTTTATTAATAACGAACTTTTTTTTCTCTTTCTTCCACACCCTTTTATACCATCCCCCCCCTCCCCCTCTTCCCACCT